ATTCTTATTTTAATGTAAATTCAATAGTGCATATTTGGCACACGTGAATGCACATTGTAGCGAGGCCCAAACACTTTGACCATGTACTTTAATTTGGTATTCTCTACAACGTATAGTACATGCGAGGGTGTGCGAGTGTGTTATTGGTGAACAATAATCGTTTTATCTCAATTATCTTGTTTTGATAATCACTGGAAGCCCAGATTGTAATTGGAAATAAAATTTGATTGATCACTCAGCCATACAACAAATTCTGATGCTGCTGCTCTCTGTGTTATTGCTGAAGTTACTGTTGTGGAGACGACGAGAGAAGTCAAATCCATACATGTATCCATTTTCCGTTACTTTAAATTTCATCACGGTTCGTGGTGGCAACAAGCTTTTCCCAGCTACATCACATAGCTCTTTCTTTCTTTATCAGATGTCTCAACTACCTTGACCGATTCCCTTCAATGCAAAGAAACAGTGGTCTTACTTTCAAGTGTAGTCCATGTGAATGAGCCCACATGACACTGAACTATAAATCAAAACCTGTGCTGTAGATAAGTACAGCTGGACTCCAGCTAACCCCATGCAGTGACCATAAATCCAGCTTTACTGCCTACTCTGCACTGATCTGTCCGTTGATCTCACACTCATCTCTCGTGAACAATATATTGAGATACCTTGACTCCTTTGAGGAGTGCCACTTCTCAGAAATCATTTTTCCTGGACAAAACCCAGGGTCAGAGTGTGAACATGCGTGTGCACAGACACACACAGCGGGGAGGCTCAGTGATTAGCGCTGTCGCTTCACAGCAGGAAGGTCTGAACTCCACCTGAGCCAACTGGGACCGTCTGTGTGGAGTTTTTGGTGCAGGTTTCCTCCCACAATAAAGTGAAGCAGGTTAAATATCAAGAGTGCTGGGAACATTTATCATAACATTCATTACGTTTCAACTCTCTCCAAAACACAAAAATCATTCCTTCACATTCTCAAATAAACTCTAATTATGAAAATGCTGTTGAAATAGGCATGTTTGTAATTATGTAGTGGGCCAACTTCCAAACCGTGTTTGAGCTCCGGCCAAATGCTAAGTGAGTGACCCAGACATCGACCCAGTCCGCTGGGTGACTGCTGGCTGCCAAACACTCTCACAACACCCATCTCCAAACAATAGAGTTATTATTAGTGTGGCTAAATACTTCAAATGTCACATCAGTCCCATTACAGCACAGATGAAGCATCCAGGTTGGCCACTTCCCAGATTCAACAGCCCTGTTGATGGGTTTTTGCATCTCTGTTTAAAAAGTAAATTGTTCCTCTGTTAGTATGCAAGTGTTTTGTTGCTAAGAGAGTTCCTGTGTGTGTGTGTGTGTGTGTTCATAAACACATCATATGCATATATTCCAGACCGTAACTAATCAAGGTCTCAACAGTAGCCGAGAAAAAAGCATCTAGTGATAATGAGTCTAACTTCCTTCCTCTCCTCGCTTATATACCGAGTCTTTAGAAGTGAACTCACTTCTAAACTCTCTCGGAGCTGGGCTAAAAGGCATTTGTGTGGGCCAAAGGGCAGTGAGGCCTTCATTGTCACTGATTTCAATACAGATTTCAATCCCGACTCTGCCAATCAGACAGGCCAGCATTGCTCCTTGTTCTTCCCCATCAAACGGCTTTGTCTCTCATGCTCATGGTTGATTAGGTGGGGGGAGACTGGGAACTGTGTGTGGCACACTGGGCTCTTTGTCTTACCCGAGAACGAGACTCCTTAACAGTCTATAGCTGCGTGCAATGAACTCACTCATCCACACACACACATGAGCACACTTGCGCGCCTAAGCTGCTAAAATAAAGGCCACCATGTCCAATTATTTGTTTGCACGAGTTCACACATCCCAGAGGGACGCGCTGACAAGCTTTCAGATGAGCTATATGTTAATGATTTCTCCCCTCTTGCTAATATGACTTTGAGAAATGAACGTGGCTAAGTGCTTTACAAGAATAACAGGGGGCAATCAGAGAGCAATTCATGCAATCTAGACGTGACAAAGAGATGTATCTATGCCTCTGTGTTAAGGTGATACAGGCTTAACGTGGTCATATCGATTAAATGGAGTAAATCAAAAGGGCTAACATAGCGTCATGTGAGAGCTAATCCCAACTGACAATCTACAGCAGCTCCACTGATCTTCCAACATCACTAATCACAGAGTTCTTACATGTTCCCAGTTTAAATAATTTATTAAGCGCATCAATTGGAGCCAGACAGCAGCTCTCCATTAATATCTGAGATTGTTTTCCCTCATCCTCGGCAGAAGAAGTTCTAACATAGAGCTGTGCGCTCTCAGCAAAGTGTTTGTTACCGAGGCCACGTCGAGTCACCATGCTAAGTGGCTCACATACCACCACATTAATCTCCATTAACACAGATGGACACTTAATCCCTACTCTTCGACAGCAAGGCACCCGGGGTCTCTGCCCACGCTGACACCGTCACTGGACCACTGCTGCTCACACACCGCTGAGGCAACAACACACAGTTGATGTTTACCAACACCATATCGGAAAAAACACATTATTTATTCAAGGAAAGTCACAAGTGAAACTTTACAAGCCTCAAGTCAGTCTTTAAAAGTTTTAAATTAATCTGTACAAGTCTCAAATACAGTCTTGAGTTGGGTTGGGTACCATTTATATTTCAATCATTACTGACAGAGTTTGGTTTCAGTACCTGGAATTTGGTACTGGTACCCATTGGTATTTTTTTTGGTACTTAACAGTCTCTGTAATAACAAGAATTTAATTTCTGAACAAGCTGCTGGGGTGTAGTTGTAGACTGAAGCGCAGTTCTGCTCCTCTGCTCTTTTCTAATCACACAGCTAATCTTCTGTCTCTGTCTGTCTGCTTTTGTGTGTATGCGTGTCTGCTCATCTAGCAGGAATGCTAGGCTACAACTAAAATAATACAGGAAACAAAAGAGACCAGACGCTAAAACTACTGCATCAGATCGGTGCTGCAGTGATAGTTTTAGCTTGCTGGGAAGCCGAGAGCGGAGTGGCTGATGGAGCCGACCAAGTGGCATTGGTCACTTCCAGGCTTTGGGGTGCCTCCTTCGGGCGCTTTGCAGCACTTGCGCCTCTTGTCAAAACCCAGTGTTCTCACCCAGATGTGCTTGGTACTTGGTAGTACTGATGTAATTTGGTGGGTACCCTTAAAAGTACAGAGTACTGATATCCAACCCTGGCCAGTCTACACAACTCTTGAGAAATTTGCAATACAGTGACAGAATCTTGGTTTATATTCTATTAGTGCTGAGACAGAGAGAAGGCCGGGTCTCTCTTGATTCGCTTCTATTAAACCATGCTCAGTTGGTACTAAGGGGCCCAAAGTGTGCCAAGAAAATCTCCCCCACACCATTACACCACCACCAGCAGCCTGAACCGTTGATACACATCCATGCTTTCATGTTGTTTACACCAAATTCTGAGCCTACCATCTGAATGTGGCAGCAGAAATCCAGACTCATCAGACCAGGCAACGTTTTTCCAATCTTCTATTGTCCAGTTTTGGTGAGCCTGTGTGAACTGTAGCCTCAGTTTCCTGTTGTTAGCTGACAGGAGTGGCACCTGGTGTGGTCTTCTGCTGCTGTAGCCCATCTGCTTCAAGGTTGGACGTGTTGTTGGTTCAGAGATGGTCTTCTGCAGACCTTGGTTGGAACCAGTGGTTATTTGACTTCCTGTTGCCTTTCTATCATCTTGAACCAGTCTGGCCATTCTCCTCTGACCTCTGGCATCAACAAGGCATTTTGGCTCACTGGATATTTTCTCTTTGTGGGACCATCCTCTGTAAACCCTAGAGATGGTTGTGTGTGGAAATCTCAGTAAATACTCAGACCAGCCCGTCTGGCACCATCAATCATGCCACGTTCAAAGACACTTAAATCACCTTTCTTCCCCATTCTGATGCTCAGTTTGAACTTCAGCAGGTCGTCTTCAGCATGTCTACATGCCTAAATGCATTGAGATGCTGCCACGTGATTGGCTGATTAGCTATTTGTGTTAATGAGCAGTTGAACAGGTGTATCTAATAAAGTGTACTACCCACATTGTTATGATACAAAGGAGGTTGAAAATCGACAAAGTATTCGCTGAACTGGATTTTTGGAAGTAAATTCTAAGTTGACTCTAATTATCACTTTTGTGTAATTAGTCTGACTAAAGCCGAAGTCTCGAGTGTACCGCTCAGACGACGGCACAATACTGTGGATAGCCGAGCTAAATTGCCAAGTTCTTTCACTAATAGTGCTGACAGGTAATTAACTCTAATATTACTTAAAAAAAACAACTTTTAAAAAACATCGGTGAGGAAAAAAATCAACAGGGAGAAAACATCCAACTGTTTTGACTTCTTGACTGAAAGGAAAAAAACGCCTTGTCATTAGTGTGAAATTTGTGAAACAGCGAGCTACATTTGGGCGTCTGTGTGATGGGAACTGAGGCAGATAAAAATAGAAGAGTATCATGCACACATACTGTGCTAAAGAGAGCACAAGAAAGACACAGGGCGATGCTTTGTTTCTGCCGAGGCCACGGCGGCTGGGAGAAGGTGGAGCAGGGAGGGGGAGTGTGTGTGTCTGTGTGTGTGTGTGTGAGTTGTCTGCCTGGGAAGAGTTTTTGCGTGGAAAGGCTGTCAATTTGTGTGTAGCGGTAAAAAGCCATAAAAAGACTATAAAAACATTTAAAGGCATACTAAATTGAGTCCTCTGGGCTTTCCTCCTCCTGTGTGTGTGTTTGTGTGTGTGAACCAGCATTTCTGAAGCCTTCACTCAGAGCTGTTTGTTTCCAGCTCGACGACTCTCTCATCTATGAACTGTGTCTTATGAAATAGCGCAGGCTGAACTGAATGTTTTCGGTTTGCTTTTTAAAAGCACGATGCCGCTAACTTCATACATACATGATGAGGCACATGTGTTTATGTGGAGGAGACATTCATCATATGACACTAGTGTTTCACTTACCAGACTGTCCACGCCGCCCAGTGTGTGATTGGCATTGTACAGGGAGTAGGTCAACTGGTATACGCCGTCATTGGTCTCGCTGTTGCCATAGAAACCCACACCCACTGCGATGCTGCAGAGAGAAGAGGCAGGGAGGGACAGGTAAGCCTTTGATAAATGAATGAGAGGAGCAGAGAGCTACATCAGCGCTGCTCAGCTTGTGAATCCTGCGTGTCAGAGGTGATGTCCTTTTCAGTCACAGAAGTTCGTCCGTCATCATTAGGACCTTTGGTGAATTAAAAAATTAATGCAACCTAAAAATGGACTCCTGGGATAGACATATACTTCCTACAAAGAGTGTGGCACAACAGCAAACAGCACCTACACAACATGTTATGAATATTTCATGCCCTCCTATTCGCCCTGGCATTTGGGCATTATCATAAAGCAGTATCATCAATTTCTCCATCAACCCTGACTTTGTGCATAAACAGGAAAGAATGCAAAGGTAATGAGGCACTTTGGGACGATCCCTGAAAGGAGATGGAAATGTTATTTTCTCTATTCAATAGTTAATTGTCAAGGTGAAGGCAGACATCCAGACAGAATGAATGACAGTGGATTGGAAAGTTGCTGTCTCTGTGTGTCTTTGGGGAGCATCTTGGAGACTTCACACACAATTAGAGTTGTGGGAGAAGTAAAATTAGATTCATTCAGAGTTCGCGCTTCTCCTGTAAAATGTTTCTCTGCTGCATCAGCACGTTCGACTCAAACACTGTCTCACCTCTTTTCCCTTTTGAACATAGCTTTAAGAAAAACAAAGAAAGTGAAACTGAAATCTCTGTGCGGAAAACCTTCTCTTCATGGACACAGTTATGCCAACCTTAGAACTGACTGGTTTACTACTAGAAGTGGGCAATAGATGGATATAATGATATCTGTGATCTGTGAGTAGATATCGTCTGAGTTTTGGATATCGTAATATCCTCCTGAGACACAAACTTTTGTTTGGTTTGCATTTTTAATTCCTCCTAGGTATTTGGGATCAGTAGGACCTGATAGTATGGAAAAATAAATATTGTCAATGATAATAAAGTCCCAATGTCCTCAAATGAGTACTTCCTCATTAACAGTGTCTCATCGTGTTACTGTTGCTAAAATTGGTCAAATTTGTTGCCATGTCAAACTACAAACATTATTATACATAAATAAACAAGTTTCAACCATAAAATGTGATCAGGTTTTGGACTTTGTCAACTTTTGTGTCCAGATGGGCTGCAGACTGACTTGGCAGAGATGACTGCCATCTTGTTTTTACATGGATCAGTGTATTGTGCTCTTACTACCACTAGATGGCACAAGAAGTGTCCACGAATGAGGACAACAGGTCTGAGTTAAGTAGAATAATGTATAAGGGCAGGAAACCTAAAATGTGATGTCTTCGTATGAGGACACAGGGTCTCAGGAGGATATACTAAGTGTTGTTTTTCCTGCTTTAGAGACTGCATTACAGTAACGTGATGTAATTTTCTGAACTTACCAGACTGTTCAAGCTCTTCTGTTATTTGCGTTATTGATGGTTAGGCTATGTATCAATGATGTCATTGTGCAAATATTTTGTGAAAGCACCAACAGTCAACCTTACAATATTGTTGCAATATCAATATCCAGATATTTGGTAAAAAATATTGTGATATTTGATTTCCTTCGTATCACGGAGCCCAGCTGTGGTTGGGTACCATTCACATTTAAACTTTTTTTTTTCAACACTTACCTGTCTCTGTCATAACAAAAATGTAATTTCAGTTGAAAACAAACAATCCAAAGACGTGTTGCCTTGGCCAGCTTTGCATTACAAAGCCAGCATTGTCTGTGTCGTTTTGAAAACTGTAACCACAAATATGACTGCTTTTGGCTTGCCGCTACCCTTCATGTCTACGCCATAAGCGTATCAGACACCTTTTTTACTTGCATGTCTCATGCAACAGATACGTTCTTCTTTTAGGTCTACTCCACACATATGGGTGGTTCTGAAAACAAGGTTTTTCCGTCCTTCGTTCTTAATATAAATCCACACATGCACTGTTGTAAAAAAGAACTGTGTCTCAATGAGAACCAATGAACACAACTGAAGCGCTGTGAAGGACATGCCAATCCCACATGCAGCGATATAACCTTAACCCTAAAGTCATGTGAAGAAGAAGATGTTGGCCAATCAGAAGCCTGAAAAGAAGCTATTATCTGAAGGCTCCATGTGGTGACCTCCCTAGCTCATCCTGACACCTCTGTTCCTCAATATAGTGGAAGAGTAACATGTGGTATAGGCCTCCTTCTATACAGCTGTCTACACCAGCTCTGTGCAGGCTCATGTCACAGCTACGTCTCACAGCAGTAATCGCAACCTGAAGCTTTAATTTACTCTTCAAGTCTATTTTACGCAAAGTTGATGTCCAATAGAAAGGCACTGAAAAAAATATGCATTTTGCAACACAGGCAGAGCAGTGCTGTCTTTGGACAGAGCCGGAGAGCAGCACAGTCTTCTTTCACTTCTGCCCTGCAGCTGGGAAGCGAGAGACGGCGACTTCTTGGGTACTGAGGAGCTGCAGTGTTTATTCATGGACAAACTGTACCCTTGACTGTACATTTACTACCACTAGACAACTTCACTGCTAACTTTTCCCTCTGTTTCCATCTCCTATAGTTGTCTGCCTACCCACACATTGTGCTCCCAGGTACCGAAATTTGGCACCGATCAATTGAACATGAATCAATACTTGGCAGAACAGATGTAATTTAGTCCGTGCCTTTAGAAGTACCAAGTTGGGAACCCTACAGTATTTACTACAGGAGGCAAAATATATATGCTGTATCTATAGAGCACTGTAGCTGCAACAAACTCTTTGGATCTCTGTGTTCTTTTATGTAAACAACACTCTTTAAACCAGAAATTATACATTACAGAGTTTTGGAATGTGTGTGCGCATAAATTGAAACCGCTTCCTTTATATATTCAGTCATCCGAGGATTTCACTTGTTCGGCTGGAGCATCCGCACAAAACATAATAAGCAGCAACATAAACGCACACTCTTAAGTAGTCTCTGAGCTTCTTTTGTCCCCAAAGTGCTGTAGCATTGTTCGTTGTTGAGATTTGAAAGCAGCCGGTGTAAAATCACTCCCTACATAAGCCCAGCAAGTGAATTAGACGTAGATACATAATGTCTCACAACATAATCTGATGGCACTGGACAAGAATCTTTTGCAAAGACGATTATGTCAGAGAGGAATTTTACCCTTTTATGGAACTAAACATTAAGCTTCAAGGAAAACATGTCACTAAATGACAAAGCAAAGTTACTGTAATGAGTATGCTTTTGATTAGTCCATCACACAGTCACACATCACACTAAATTGATCATAAGATGAGATGTGGTCAGGATCTGTATGACTCAGGGGATGACATACCATAGCACCTCTGCTGACATATTTCCTGGGGGAACTCTTCATACACCGAGTCACCGGTTTATGAAATACACCTAGCTTTCAATAGCCCGGCAGTAAATCCCACTTTTATGAAATGTTGATTCAGCTGAATGTGGGTGACAAATTGAAGGAAAAACCCATGTGTCTTAGTAAGAGGTGTTTGGCCACCATGAGCCGCCAGAGCAGTTTGCTCCTTCAAAGACCCTGGCAGAGATTCTCCAAGTGTCTGACACTCTATTAGATGGATGAACACCATTATGCCTCATTTGGTGTTTTGATGAGAATGCTCCAAAATCTCCCCTATGGGATTAACTGGGTAGGAATCTGATGACTGTGTAGTACATGGCTGACATAATTTAGAAACCCTCATGCTTTATATGCAAAATATGCATTCGTTGCCTTCTCATTTATTCAGGTTTTTCCTTTAACAAATGGCCTGTCTGTGTGTGGTTATTTTGGAAGCTGTAGTTGTGTAGCTATAATGCATTATATTTAAGGTGTTGAATTACAATGGGTGTAGCTACCTCATACACTGACACCTCAGTTTTGAACTCACTACATTATCTGATAATCGATGCCAGTTGTATAAAGTAGAGAAGGAAGGGGTTAGCTGGGATCCGTTCCCTGGAGTCAAGCATGGCTATTTGACTTGATAATTAATTACAGATCAATATTTTATGACCACATCAATTCTACAAGGTTTTATGAGTGTGGTTGCCTTTTAACTTATCTAATAAACCATAAAATATCAATACAGATTTCCTTGATCTCTTAATTGTCACATCCACTTAAAGCTATCTCACAATTTATATCAACCATGTATCCATTTACTTTTAGCTATTTCAAGTTTTTATCTAGAACTTTAAGCTAACGATTTCAACTGTTTATCCATAATTTAAGATAACTTTAACTGTTTATGCATTACCGTAAGCTAGGCCAGCTATTTCAGTTGTTTATCTATTACTTTAGGTTGGTTATATCTTTCAGCTATTTATCCAGTTCATTTAGCTAACTATTTCAGCTGTTTATGTATTACTTAAAGCTAACTATTTCAGCTGTTTGTCAACTACTTTAAGCTAACTATTTCAGCTATTTGTCAACTACTTTAAGCTAGGTTAACCATTTCAACTGTTTATCTATTACTTAAAGCTAAAAACTGTTTATCCATTACTTTAAGCTAAGCTAACATTTTCAACTGTTTACCCATTACTTAAAGCTACGCTAACTATTATTCCATACAATAGGCTAACTATTTCCACTGTTTATCAATTACCTAAAGCTAGGCTAACTATCTCAGCTTTTTATCCATTACTCTAAACAATTTGTTTATCCATTACCTTAAGCTAAGCTAACATTTTCAACTGTTTACCCATTACTTAAAGCTACGCTAACTATTACATCTGTTTATCCATTACTTTAAGCTAGGCTAACTATCTCAGCTTTTTATCCATTACTCTACACACTTTAAACTGTTTATCCATTACCTTTGGCTAAGCTAACATTTTCAACTATTTATCCATTACTTTAAGCTACACTATTTCAACTGTTTATCAATTACCTAAAGCTAGGCTAACTATCTCAGCTTTTTATCCATTACTCTAAACAATTTAAACTGTTCATCCATTACCTTAGGCTAAGTTAACATTTTCAAC